TCTTTGATCTGTATTCGATTACGGCATTTTAGAATTACTTAATAATCATATAAGAATCACCATTTTTTTAAAATTTGATATTCAAATTAATTATAATCTGGGTAATTCTAGATTTAACAACCGCAAAAAATGTATTTATAGGTATGTGTATTTATATGTATGGGGTGTTGTGGAATAAATGGACAATCAAATTTCAGGGAAACACTTTACCCTAGTTGCAAATTGAAATTTGATTTTTGAAGTTTTCTTTTAAATGGGGTCCAGAGACAAAAAAAACATTTTTTTTTGTTTATACTGAAAAAACACCCAAAAAGAAAAAACTACAACATTGTACAACAAAGTTAGTATTCTTCCCCAACTGAGTTTACCATAGTGCTTAATAAAAGTAAATTGTGTCATAAAAATTGGCGCCGGGAGGCACGTATAGCCGCCCGTACTAAAATATGTTAATAAAAAGTTGGTAGGCAGTTCTTTTAGTTTCAAAGTAGTAAAGGAATTTTTCCATTTTTTTTATCTCAAAAACTGCGACTTTGACTGATTTTAATGTTATTACAAATTTTGTGACAAATATTATTACTAATCTTAAATTGAAAACCGCGTTTCGATAGCTACTGTAATTTTGAAGTTACGATTTTTTAAAATTTTTAACCCCCTCCCAAACCCCCTTAACAACCCCCCACCCCCACCAAAAACTAATGGCCTAAAACTAATTCTCGGGTGCCACAGTATTTTTGTGCCAAATTTGGTTAAAATCGGTTTAGCGGTTTTTGAGTTATCGTGTTACAGACGGACAGACAGACAGACACCATGAAAATATTTTGTATTTAGTTCATTTATGACCCAAATAACCCATTTTGAGTGAATTTAAAAAAACTTTTTTTTGCCGATCTTAATAGCCTACCATACCTATTGGTATGGTCGGCTAAAAATATGGTTAGTAGTGCTACAATTTTTAATAACGATTTTTTCATTTAAATTTCAATGAGCACAATCTGAATATTCTCTGGTGTTGATATTTTCCCTCCAAATGTCACAAATTGTGAAAATTACCACACTTTGGTTTCCTATTAGTCCAAGAAAATAGGCCTTCAAATACGAAGTTTTGTAAAAACTGGAATTTTTGATATAAGATTCTTTGAAAGATCTGAAAACGAATTATTGTGAAAGATTTTATTAAATTTACCCCCGAGAAGGGGTGAAATAAATAAATAAAATTATTTTTTCGAAATTCCGGAGAAACTGTAAGGACTAGAAAGCAAAGTTTAAATAAAAGTTGTAGAGCGTTCAGTTTTACATAAAAATGGTGTCTAATTCTTTTTGCTCAAAATTAATCGAGATAGGGTGGCTGGATGCTAGGGGACAACTTTCATTGAAACATTTTTTTCTAAGTCCTGCAGCAGTGCAAAATGCAGCAGTGTTTTTTACAATAATTGTGGGGTTTATTACAATTCCATTTAACATCGCCTGCGTGTCTTTAAAACTACACATTTCCGGACCCATATTTATAGGAACTTTTATCTCCTGAAATTTGGCCGTGCATCGAACACCCTGGGTAACGACGCGTGGAAAATTAATTTTCTACGTGTATGTAGAAAAGTTCGTAGAAAATGTAGAATATTAAGTAAAAAATGAGAATCTGAGAACAAGTAAAAAAATGATATAAAACAGGTATAAAATCTGAGAACATTAATTTTGTATATTTAAAGCCGGTTTTTTCACTTTAGAGGTTTCTTCCTTTGTATTTTCTTTAAATTCTATAAGTGTTAAAACTGTAACACAGACTGTAATAAGTGTGTCATCTCTCTATTCTGGGAGGGTACTCCCCGAGGAGTGTCTCACTCGGGTAAAAAATGTACACGTACTGCCAAAATATCCTTCCATTGCTGAGCGACTGCCAATGACTATGAAGAAGACTGCCTATGACTGCCATGTAATTATTATAGGCGACTGCCATAAGACTGCCAATGACTGCCAGCGACTGCCAAGAAAATGTACATGTAATTCCAATAGTGAGACACCCCTCGGTACTCCCTGAAGATAAGAGACAGTAATCGATCTGAAAACTATTAGAATATTTTTAGTCGACCATACCAACAGGTATGGTAGGCTATTAAGATCGGCAAAAAAGTTTTTTTAATTTCACTCAAAATAAGTTATTTGGGTCATAAAGGACCTACATACAAAATATTTTCATGGTGTCTGTCTGTCTGTCCGTCTGTAACAAGATAACTCAAAAACCGCTAAACCGATTTTAACCAAGTTTGGCTCAAAAATACTGTGGCACCCGAGAATCGGGCCATTAGTTTTGGGTGGGGGTGGGGGGGTGGTAAGGGGGTATGGGAGGGGGTTAAAAATTTTAAAAAATCGTAACTCCAAAATTACAGTAGCTAGCGAAATGCGGTTTTCAATTTAAGATTAGGAATAATATTTACAACAAAATTTGTAATAACATCAAAATCAGTCAAAGTTGCAGTTTTTGAGATATTCCGTGTTTCCGTAGTCCGTTTTTGAGGAAATCCGTGTGGAGAACTCCAAACTCCCATCGGACGCGACCCCAGGTGGCGGATAGGGGAAATAACCGCGGACCAAAATTGGAAAAATTCCTTTACTTTGAAACTAAAAGAACTGCCTACCAACTTTTTATTAACATATTTTAGTATGGGCGGCTATACGTGCCACCCGGCGCCAATTTTTTTCTGTTTAATCTGAAGACCGTATAGAAAAATCTTTTTCTTTGGAAGTTTTCGTTATTCCTTTTTTTAATTTTACCATAGAAAGCCTGTGATTTCATAAACTATATACGTATAATAATAATTATTGTAGTTTGTAGTCCTTACTTTCATTATGTTAGATGTAATTGTCGTTGTTCTGTTTGAGTCTCACCAAAGTTCACAGAATTCCATAGAATTATTCTGTAAACTTTGATTTTACTATCGAAAACTTTTAAAATATCTGTAAGCTTCGACTATAGATGTCACACCAAATCAAATCAAGGAAAATTTCGACAGACGATATTCAGATGATGAAAATACGATATGCCTGTGAATTATATTGACACTACAGTCACTGTCATGCATCCTTCCGTTGTAGATATCAATTTAAAATAATATGGAAGTTAATAGTTAAACTTTTTTTGATATACTAATATACTATCCATTTGTTAAATTATAAATAACAATTAGTTTATAGATATTAGTTAATATCATGTTAATATCGTTATTACTATTTCTTGTGCTAATGGTAGTAATGTTTGTGATTGAAGTTTTTGAAATAAATACAGGGTGGTCCGAACTGTATTCCGGAAACTTCGGAAGCATATTCTGCAGATAAAAATAAGTAGAAAAGTTCGTATAAATCATCATCATCATCATCACCCCCTTTCACGTCCATAGTTGAACATAAGCCTTCTCTATACGTCTCCAGTTCTCGCGGTTTTTAGCTGTTGCAATCCAGTTAGTTGTTATTCGTTTCAGGTCGTCGGTCCATCGGGTGGAAGGTCTGCCTTGGCTACGCTTGTCGGCTCTTGGTCTCCACTCTATAAGTCTTTTGGTCCATCTCCCGTCTGCCATTCTAGCAATGTGTCCAGCCCATCTCCACTTTTGTTTTGTGATTCGCTGGATAATGTCATCCACTCCCGTACGTCGGCGTATCTCTTCATTTCTTACTCGATCTCTCAAGTCAGGCCAATGTATCCTCCCGGTTTTGACCTATAGCGCAGAGACACTCACTCTAACAAAAGCAACCGCAGAAAAATTGAGAGTGACACAGAGGCGAATGAAGAGTTCGTATAAATGTATGTTCTATAATGCTTAGTTTCAGAGATACAGGGTGTAGAAGTTTCATTTTTATTTCGATTTTTTCCAAATAATTTCTGAAGTAACGTCAATATTTGGATCTGGGAGTCTGGGAGTTTTTTGACATGAGCAATTTGATTTTGATGTCAATATGACTCCTATTTGAAGGGGGCGCCACCTACATGTGATTTAACTTTTTTCATAAGTAATAATTTTTCGTTCGTACCTGTATAAAACTACTGAGTGAAAAAATATACATTTCCGTGATTTTCTACGTAAAAAATGTCTCTTGGTAAAAATCGCTACGAGAAATCGTTCTCAAGGTGTTTAGAATGGAAGTAATCAATACATGTCATTACTGACAAAAAATAAGTATGTTGACTAGATAGTTATTTGACTAAAATGATAAATTTGTGAATTTTTAATTGTTTTAAATTAATCAGAGATTTTTCTTCAAAAAAATGATGAGAAAACAGTTTCTGTTGAACTTTTGACACAAAAACGTTTCAAATTTATGATTTCAGTGTAATAACTATTTAGTCAACATGCTTGTTTAATTTATGTCAATGATGACAGGTATGGATAATTTCGATTCCAAATATCTCGAGAACCATTACTAGTAGCGATTTTTACCAAGAGACCTTTTTTACGTAAAAAACGTAGTAAATATATAATTTTTTACTCAGTAGTTTTATTCAAGTACGTACGAAAAGTTATTACTATTCAAACCAGTTAAAAAATATGTAGGTGGTGCCCTCTACAAGTAAGAGTCATATTGACATCAAAATCAAAATTTTCATGTCAAAAAAACTGCAAGACACCAATTTTCATCCAAATATTAAATATTGACGTTATTACAGAAATTATTTGCAAAAAATCGAAACAAAAATGAAACTTCTACACCCTGTATCTCCGAAACGAAGCATTTTAGAACATACATTTATATGAACTTTTTTACTTATTTTTATATGCAGAATGTGCTGCCGAAGTTTCCGGAATACAGTTCGGACCACCATGTATATAAACTCAAAAAAGGCTTACAATATACAAAACTAATTTTCTACGTCTGGACATGTAAAAAATGTAGAAGATTAGTTGGCATAGAAAATTAATTTTCGACGTGTAGGAAATACGGTAGAAAATATAAAATTTTCTACCCTTGTATGCAATAATAAAAGTTTTTTAAAATAAAACAAAAAATCCTACCTTAAACTTAACAGTATTCACTTAAAACTGAACTCACGTATCAATAATGACGTATCAATAGTGACGCAATCACCAATATCTATTGACAATTTCGTATTATTATTTACCGTACTACTTGAGAATTGCCAATTTCAGCTGAGAAAACTCATTAAAATTTCTATACCTAGTTCCTTCATTCTTGGCTGCTCGCGTAAAGAAAGTGATCTAACTAACGCGATGTTTGATTTTAAAGAAAGTACTCGGCCATCGGTGGTAGTAGGTAAGCGCTCTTAGTAACATTGGCACAAATGACTGGCTATGTGTATCGGTTATTTTGTTATAATTGAATCTCTTCGCATTAAAAAATATAAAGGAAAAATGGCATAAATAATATATAATCAAATCGTTTGTAGAATAGTTCACTTTCACTCTATAATTATTTTTAATTTCTTTTTATATACCTATTTTTGTTGTAGGCATAAAGTAAATTTAGTTAGTCATTTGCCTAGGTACGCATCAGGCATGTGCTAAGAGCGTTGCCAAAATGTTACAGCAAAAATATTATACAAATATGAGATTAAATCTTAAAAGTGAATACAGTACCATTGAAGCTAATCTAACGTCCTTCTTTTATATTTTCTTTTGAAAAACCCCATTGGAAAAAGCGCAAATTTAAAGAGGCTGCATGCATATCTAGCAATAATAAAATTTTTAGCAATCCAAGTACCTGGATGGATGTTTTAACAATATGGTAACCATTCATAAGACGCTCCGGTGCTTAAGTATTCTCAGTGGACAACCTCATGCTTGACCGCACACAACTTCTTCACGGGTGAATGCTTAGGGGTGATGAGTAGTTTTAGGATTTAGATTAACTCACAATTGATAACGGTCAGTGATACTTCTGGTCTATACCGGGTGCTTCTCAAAAGTGGCTCACCTCTATAACTTTTTTTATTTTTTCAGATAAAAATCGAGATTTGGTATGTTAGTATATTACAGTTGAGGGTTGGAACCTTTGGTGTTACACAGCAAAATAAAACACTAAATCACCACAATACACCAAAACACTTTTACACTGGACGCGCGTTTCACTAACCATGTTAGCATCATCAGCAGATTATAATCATCTGCTGATGATACTAACATGGTTAGCAAAACTCGCGTCCAGTGTAAAAGTAAAAGTGTTTTGGTGTATTGTGGTGATTTAGTGTTTAATTTTGATGTTAGTATATGACAAAGAATATACCTAGCTAGAAAAAGAATGGACTCTGCCATACTGAAAAATGGTCCAACAGAAGTGGCGCCATCTATTGAGTAGGGATTGTTTTAAATGGATCGAAGCGCGGGCTTTTTAAATGAGCGTATTTATTGAATTTTACTCTAAAATAATTAAATTTGATTATTAAATCATATTTTTTACACATATTCAACAATACTAATAACAAGTTTCGTTGTGATGTGTAAAAAATAAAATTTAACAGTATAATTTATACAATTATTAAATAAAATTAAAGCCAAACGTGTTAATATTATTTATTATTTAAAGTTTTTATTTATAAGTCAAATATTTAAACATCGTTTATTATAATAAAACAAGACCAACGTAATACGCCCAAAGTTTTGTAAATGGAGTAAATATAAATAGGTACTTAAATGATGGCAAACATAAAAGACTTACATTATATGTTTAGGGCCACAAACAAAAGGAATTGTCTAATTAAAACACATATAACAAATTATAGTTTGATGCCCACTTGCACCGTTTGTATAAACTTTGTTTAAAGGCTAAACAGTGATTAACTATAATAAAATATGTATAGTTAATCACTGTTTAGCCTTTAAACAAAGTTTATACAAACGGTGCAAGTGGGCATGAAAAACGTTTTGATAATCATTTGATAATATTATGATTGGCGCTATGACAACGACAATATTTTTTGAGAATTTGACAATAGTATGACAATGGCTGTTGGAAACTATGGAAACTACAAAAAAATTCTGATTTAACGCCATCTGGCAATAACTAATAGCAACTTCTTAACCTAAAAATTAATTGCACTACCACCTAGCGCCTGAGGCTGGAACTATTTTATTTGAAATTTCCGTGGAAACGGTGGAACCGCTTTTGCTATTTCACTTTCCCGCCCCTGGTATATGACATAATTTAGGATTGATTGACGTGGTCTTTGATTGATTACTACAACTTTTGATTTTTAAATGGCACCCTCGGTATATTTTTACTTTATTCGATAGAAAATGACACTCTGAATAGAATGACATAATTTCACATGTCAAACTTTGATATTCTCGCTTAAAAAAAATCGTATTTTAAATTTCAATCTACAGTGTCATGGCAGTGTTAAAAACACTAATTTTTAATAAAGGAGCCTTGGAAAAATAGATTTCATCGTCTAATGTTTTTCATGTATTGTCCTGGTCGGTTAAAAGATGCCCAAATCGTATTTTTAATTATAACTCTAATCTCTAATTTTTTCAAATGGAACGAGGGTAGATCATTAGGATATTTGGAAAAAGTATTTTTTTTCGAATCACTTGGTACCAGACACTTGGTGTTTCAAATCAAATTGTCGTTATGAACCGCATGTTACAATTTCAAATAAACTATATGCGGAAATGTCAAAAGTTGTTGATATGTCATTCTATTCGTCATTTTCAATCGAATAAAGTAAAAAAATACTCGTATATTTTATTGTAGAATTTTCAAATAAGAATAAATTATTAGCACCCGACGTTTTCGTCTCTGAAAATTTCGGCATAATTTTTTAAAAGGTATATCGTAATAGTGACACTCTCCCTACATTTTGCTACCTGATGTTCATTCATATTACTTTAAAGCCGAACTGAAGAACCTGGAGGACTCCAACCTGGATTAGGAATCCTCCAACGGACACCAGAAAAAGTTTTTGGGAACTTATGACCGAGAAAAATCAAACATTTTTCTTGATTTAAGTAAGAACAATCTTCGGGTTGTCAAGGTTTTTTTAACAAAACACTTTGTTCTCAATGAACACCTCAGTAGATTGAAGCTGAGAAACAACGGCAAATGCAGATTCTGTGGGTAAATTGGGAAAGCCCCAGAACACCTTATTACTGAGTGCGCCGAGACGACAATCGTTCGTGCCATAAACTTTGGTACGGCTGATGTCGGAGATGGAAAGCTGGCCTCTGTGGCGCCGTCTCAGATACGGACTTTTATCAAAGCCCTGAGTCTGTATGATGAGTTATAACTCGTTATAACTGAAGAAAGGGGAACACACAATAAATCCGTAAGGTCGCGGTGAATAATTCCCTCCTAAACATTCTACATTCTACTACGTTACATTAATATTCATTTTGTATATACATTTTAAGCTTTGAGAAAATTGTTGAAAGAGAAATAATTGTTAGATTTTTGCTGGTGTCCCAGGCTGAAAGTGCTGATTCTACAGCAACTCATGATTACTAAAATGTAATCTATATTCTGAAACTATTAGCCTTCTCAAGACTCTTGCATATTTTTCACGCCAGTTCTTTGACTATAAATGGTTAGGGTAGATTGCGAGAGTTTGGGATCATGTTTGATCCCTCACTCGGAGGTCTTCGGCTCATTGCGATACTCCTGTATTGTTGTACCAAACCTTCTCCTCATTCTTTCTTTGCGTTAAAGCACTTCCAGCTCTTTGTGAAGTTCCCGATATCGCTGATATTGGCTTGTGCTTCTTCCTCTATAGTAAATTCAACCCCAAGATGCACCAAACGTAAACAGAGACATGAGGCAAGCACGTGAACAGGAACGCTGTAGTAATATAACCAGGACCGCACTAAGGTCGGATATTCCAAATCATAAAATTATTATGTATATTTTTATGATTTTTTTTACTATTGTTTATATTTTATGGTGGAAATTTATATTATATAAATGGGTAATTATTGGGAAAACTGGAAATCGTCCTATTTTCACCAAAATTGGTATACACCCTATTTTGAGGTCGTAGATTACGAATCTGACCAAACCTAACCAACCAGCGGTCTCTTACCGTTTTTCAGAAAAACAGAAAATAATTTCAACATTGAATTTTTCTTTATTTCAGCCCTATAAAGTAATAATTTCACTATATTTTTATTATATCATAGTTTATCTAAAAGCCACACTTGATTGAGGATTGAAAAATGTCCAAAATTTTACTGAAAAACACTTTTCTTAACAAAATAACAAAGAAAATTGAGACCAGATGGAAGTTTGACATTTCATATATTCTTCTTTCTCTCCCTATGTAAGAGAGAGACAAATATTTGATTTTTTTCGGGTGATTAGGGATTTTAAATAAATTACCTATTATGAGATTTGACAATAGTTAAATATACCTATATACACGAAGTTACGCGGAAGAGTTTTAATTACATTGCTTTCAACTTCTATGCTTAGGGGGTTGATATTTTTATGTTATATTATATTAAAAAAAGATTAAACTCCTTCGCAAAGAGAAGTTATATAAATACTATTTATAAGCACGAAGTTGCATGAAAGAGTTTTCATTGCAGTGATTTCAACGTCTTTGCGGAGGGGGTTAATCTTTTTTTATATAATATAACAAAAACATATTAACACCCTCCGCATAGAAGTTGTAACCAATGCAACAAAACTCTTTCGTGCCACTTCGTGGTTATAAATAGTCAGATCTCGTTGGTAAAAAAGCAGTTATGGGAAGGAGCCGTTCCTCAGGCAACCGCCTTTCGTAATCCCAGAATGAGCGAAAAAAACACGCTAAATTTACGTTCAGCATTGGCAACGTTGCTTTAAATGCCAGAAACACATAACCCAACATTTTCAGATTGTTTACAAATTTATTTTGCAAATTTTCCTCTATTATGCATAGAATTGGTTAAAAAAGTAACAGAACATAGCAAAAGCCTCATTGTTTATTGAATACCTAACAAAATATGTGCTAGAAAACCTTAAAAATATGAGAAATTAAGTAAAATTCTATGTTGAAACTATTTTCCGTTTTTCTAAAAAACGGTAAGAGACCGCCAGGAAAAATGTTCAGATTCGTAATCTACGACCTCAAAATAGGGTGTATACCAATTTTGGTGAAAATCGGACGATTTCCAGTTTTCTCAATAATTACCTACCTTTAATTATTATCAAACTACATATAATTAGAGAAATAAAGTGATGGGAAGGGGGCGGGAATATTAAAATATTACATTACTCTTTGGCACGACCGATTTTAACAAATTTGGTGTTTTTTAAAAGGGCTTAATTTGTCCTTTAAAATAATTATCTTTTTATTTGGTACTACTGATTTTTTTTATTTCCATTATTGACAGCAATATCTGAATATCGGTATAAATAGGTATCTGTTTCTATAATACTATTTGCAAAAAATGCAATGATGTAAACGTTTTTACATCATTTAAAAGACCAATTGCATTAGAACATAATTTAATACATTTTAGTTGACAAAAAAAGCACTTAGTTTTAACTTGCTTTCGTAGCCTGCTGTATTATCCGTTTTAAAGTATAACGACATTTTTTTTTGAAAAACTAGTCAAATAAAAACTTCTATTTTTAAACATAACATTTATTAACATTAGATTTACAAAATTTATAATTTTATTAACATTTACAAAATAATAATTTTATATAAAATATATAACTTTTGACTTTTTGTAGTAGGTACGTGTGTACTAATTGTAAAAATATTTTATGCAAACATAAATACTATTTTCTCTATTTGTAACTTGTAACTTGTACGAAGTGATCAACAATTATTATTGAAATAGTTGACCGTTCTGATTTTACTCGCTTGGTTGGGAATACATTTAAAAAGAATTTTTATTTTATCAAACAGTATTCCTTAACGCGCTAGGCAAGCCGACCCTGTAAAAAATCTCAACCGCCTACCTCAGCGGCTCTATGGCTGGCCGGCCAATCAGAGTAGATTTCGTCGCTGGCTCTCGCCTGACACGTGCTGATCACGCACTGTGCATTTGTTTATACTGGTGCATTTTGAATTTGAATACAGTTTAGTCCCTCCAAAAAACCTTGCCCTAAAGTTTTAAAGCGTCGGTATTCCAGTGCCGGACAGTGGACAGCAGGTGCTCTATGGTTTCTTCTTCCTCTTCGCATTCTCTGCAGTAGTCGTCGTTGATAATCTTCCATATCACAAGATTTATCCCCGTGGGGCAGTTTCCAGTGATGACACCTACAATTAGGCGTACTAGGTTCTATTTGTGCTCTACTAGGGGGGGGGGGGGTAACAACCGTTTTCCAAAAATGTAAGCATTAGTCTTTTAATATATTAAATTTAAATATCTCGGCTGTTTACAATTTATTTTAAAAATTAAAAATGTTCTTTAGTCCAGGTCTATCACCCCTTAAAATACTTGCAGTTATCTAAGAGACCTCTGTAATAATCAATAACGTGAATGTCTTTATATGCTTTCTAGTATGTTTACAAATAAAAAACAAATCAGCAAACCAAATCTTGACATCGAAAAACGATGAAAATTATTCAAATTCTATACTATTAATTTTTGTCCACCTAGTATATCTTTCCAGGCGCACGCTCAATGCTACAGAAGCATCGCGACGTCCATATCGTGCAGTCTGTCGTCGCGACGCCCGCCTAACGCATCCCCACGCCACCCTCGATCGAATTAAGGCCCTCCAGATCGTCTTTTTTTCGCAGCTTCCGCGAAACAGCCGCGCTCCGGCTTCGGCTTAATAATTCTTTTGTTTGCCGGACAAAAGAACGACGAAGTCGTCGTGATTCTTTTGTTGGACGATAAAGGCTTAAGAAATCCTCCTTGAATTTGTTTTTATTTTCTTGGACTTTTATTTGTGTTAATGGAACCAGAAGGTTTTTGCGAGGTTCGGTATAGTTATCTATGACCATGGTGGGAGATGAGACAGGAAAATTTAGTGAAGTGATTGATTGTTAGTGATTCATTTTATGTTTTAACAAAAACATAGTGTGGGAGGACAGGTTATTTTCGATGAAAATGATTGGTTCTGATTTGTTTTTGATGAAAATAACTATTTTGTCTATGCTGGCTTCTACAGGTTAGTCTACATGTTTCATTATTCACTGTAAATTCACACAACATTTTAACATTTTATTAAGCACCATTTTTGAAAATGTCGACAATATTGTTATTGTGATGTATTCTGTAAAACCAAATAACTTTGTAAAGGAACGCTAAATAAAAAAAAAATTAATAATTTCATTCAATTCATAATTTTGTTACACTTATTAATTTTACACAATATACTGGGCGCGTTTGCAGAGCTGCAACAAGTCAATTTTAAACAGACTTAAGTCTTAAGTCTTAAGTCATTTTTAAAATCAAAATGATTTAAGTCTTAATTCAAATTCAACATAAAGTTCAAATGATTTAAGTCTTAAGTCTTTGACTTAAATCATTTTATTTCAAGTCAGTTTTGTAAAGACTTAAATCAATATAAAGTTGTTTAAGTCGTTTTTATGATGTTAGTATTAATTTTCTTCTATTACCAATTAGCGATTTTTACTAAGTATCATTATTAATTTCAGCCTTTTATAAAAAGACTTAAATATTTTTAATGACTTAAGTCTTTTATAAAAAGACTTAAATTTTTTAACGACTTAAGTCTTTTCTAAAGACTTAAAATCTTTTTCTATTTCGGAATAAATATTTACATCACAAGTCATTCTGCAAAAGACTTACATTTTAAGTCTTAAGTCAGCTTTCGCAAAACGACTTAAAATCAAATGACTTAATTCATAAAAATGACAAAAATGACTTAAATCAAAAAAATACTTAAGTTTTCTGTGAGCTTGCAGCTCACTAATTTTGGTTACAAGACTACGAGTTTTGGTTTTTACGCTCGGTATATTTTCACTTCATTCGATAGAAAATAACACTCTGAATAGAACGGCATATCATATTATGTAACCTTTTGACATTTTCGCATATGGTAGTAGGCATGGCGGCACTTGCGACAGACTTCCGGTCCAGACACCGAATTCCAGGAACCCAATCAGATACAAATATGTAAAATACGTCAATAAATAAGGATAAACAGGTTTGAACCGTGGTGAACCGCTTTAAAACAGAAATAAACAGGTTTGAACAAAAAATGAACAGGTCTGTTGTTTTAAACTAAAAGCTGTTCAAAGCAGTTCAAAAACGGTTCACCACGGTTCAAACCTGTTTATTCTTATTTATTAACGCATTTTACATGTTCCTATCTGATTGGGTTCCTGGAATTCGGTGTCTGGACCGGAAGTGGCTGTCTGTCGCAAGTGCCGCCATGCCTACTTATGGTTTATCTGATATTGTTAACATTCGGTTCATAACGACAATTTGACTCGAAATACCCAGTGTGTGGTACCGAATTACTCGTAAAAAATGCTTTTTCCACATAGTTCCATGAGCCACTCTTGTTCCATTTTAAAAAATTGAGATATGATTAAAAATACGACTTGGGCATGTTTCAACCGGCCAGGACAAGACACGAAAAATTTTAGACGATTAAATCTATTTTCCAAGGCTCCTTGATTAAAAATTTGTGTATTTAGCGCAGCCGTGGCACTCTACGTTGAAATTTAAAATACGATTTTTTTTAAAGCGAAAATGTCAAAAGATGACATATGATATCTATATTCAGAGTATCATTTTCTATCGAATAAAGTAAAAATATACCGAGGGTGTCATTTAAAAATCAAAAGTTGTAGTCATTTCTGGTGAAACAGGAAATGACCAAAAATAATTGAATACGTCGGTCAATCCTAATTTGTGTCATTTACTAACATACCAAATTTTTTCAAATCATAGCAATCGTTTTGTTATCTGAAAACATAAAAAAGTTATAAGGGTAATCCACTTTTGACACGCACTCGGCATTATATACAGTTTTTTCCAGAAAAGGCAATAATGTTTTAAAGACAATAATAGTTACACAGGTATAATATATTCAAATAGGAATTAAAATTCATTAGTGGTAATATTAGAGGTATTATCCATATTCATCGCTGGATCAAGCAAATTACCAAATCATCCAGTTGCACGACTGGGACGGATCATGTGTTCCTGACGATACTGTCACAGACGGTTTAACGTCGTTATGCATATGGATAGGGGTAGATATAGCTTGGTAAGGGTAACAGGAAGTAAAGTAGGGAAACTCCAGTCAAACTCTACAGGGTGAAGCGAAAATTACGTTTAGGAAAAATTGTGAGATAGCAAATTTTAAATATCTATACGGGTGCGTCTCAAAAGTGACCCACCCCTATTATAACTTCTTTATTTTTTCAGATAAAAAACGAGAATTGGTATGTTAGTATATGACATAAATTATTATTCAATTGTTTTTGGTCACTTCCTGTTTCTGACTACAACTTTTGATTTTTAAATAGCACCCTCGGTATTTTGTTTACCTTATTCGGTAGAAAATGAGATTCTGAATAGAATGACATTTATCATATGTCAACTTTTGACATTCTCGCTTAATAAAAAATCGTATTTTAAAATTCAATCTAGAGTCTTATGGCTAGATTAAAAACACTAATTCTTAATCAAGGAGCCTTGGAAAAATAGATTTGATCGTCTAATGCTTTTAGTGTCTTGTCCTGGCCAGTTAGAAAATGCTCTAATCGTATTTTTAATCATATCTCAATTTTTTTTTATCTCAAAGAACGAGGGTGGCTCATTAGCATATTTAGAGAAAGCATTTTTTTACGAATAATTTTATACCACACACTTGGTATTTTAAGTCTAATTTTCGTTACGAACCGCAAGTTATAATTTAAAATTTACCATATGCGAAAATGTCAAAAGTTGACATATGATATGTCATTCTATTCAGAATGTCATTTTCTATCGAATAAAGAAAAAAAATCCAAGGATGTCATTTAAAAATCAAAAGTTTCAGTCATTTCCGGTGAAACAGGAAGTGACCGAAAACAATTGAATACGTCAATCAATCATAATTTATATCGTATATATGGTCGTATACTAACATACCAAATCTCGTTTTTTTAACTGACAAAATAAAGAAGTTATAGGGGTGAGCCACTTTTGAGACGCACCCGGTATTGTTTTACTGAAACGTTCTATTATACTTATTTAGTTGATTTGAACAAATATTCAGCCTTTCCTAAATTTACTATTTGCTAAAACGGTCAAAGTATTTCCTGGTTATACATTCTGTATGTGTTACATTCTCACACAAGGTAATATAAATAAACCTACCTCAATAAACGAAGGCAATTTAGTTTTAAAAGAGGTATAGATATTTGTCTATTGATAATATAATACATGTTTATTTCTGTATTAATAATTCATACTGATGAGCAAATGCAAGGGCAAGACTTGCAGGTCTTGGTTTTGCTCCTGCCAAGTCTTGCATTTTTAATAGGTTTTTACTAGAAGCAAATTTTACATAGACAATCAGTAAATAAATGGTATTTTTAGTTTAGTAAGTTTGTACGTTGTAACGTTGTTTAGTAAGGTGTAATTCTATACGACACGTCCGCGTGTTTTAAGTGCAGTGCAGAGTGCGTCTTCAAAGACGTTACTAAAAGTAAAGATATAAAAGATCTTTTTGGTGGTAAATGCGATATGTGCAGACAGATGTTGCGTAGAAACTGTTCCGGAGTTTCCTCCAGCGAAATAAGGGTATTGACAGCTCAATCCAGGGTAGTTACATACTACTGTCCTACTTGCATCGATGTTATTCGTATGTAAGTGAGATTCCTACATTCAAGAAACAAATAAATGAACTTCAAGAAATAACCCAGCAAATTAGAAACCAAATAGTTAAAGACGTGCCAATGTACGCACATGTAGCTGCAGACATTAAGAACCTTAAGGAACAAATGGAGCAGTTAACAGAAACTGTTCAACAGAAAACATCACTCCCTACAAGGGATGGAGAAGATCACATAGAGGCAACACTACTTGAAATGAGCGAAAGGGAAAGAAGATCTTCCATCCTCCAATGTGTTAATATTTGGAGTCAAAGAGCATGCAGATTATGATGCTGACTACAATGATAAAAAAGCTATAAATATACTGCACAACTTAAATAAATGCCTTTATTGTCAAAAAATAAATAAATAAATAAATAAATAAAAAAAAACCAATGTCCATCGTATTGGAAAAATATCTGCAAACAAAGTCAGACCCATTCGTGTAATACCACGTTATCTGTGGTAATACTGAAATCCTCCACTGAAGCCATATATATACTACAAGTCAAAAATAAATTAAAGGAAGATGGTGTCTATGTTAAATCAGATCAAACGCCAATGCAAAGAGCCTACCTTAAGACTGTTGTAAGAGAACTTGAAGATCGCAAGAGCAAAGGTGAAGATAATATTAGAATCAAATACATTAATAATATACCTAAGATAATACATACATTACATGGCAACATCATATCAAAAAACTAACGAAACCAGGCGTAGTTGAGGTCTCTTTCTGGTATAGCAACTTAAATTCAATGCTCAATAAAGTGGACGAACTCAAAACACGACGACATTGTCACGACGACAAAATAAACGCTCCAAACAACAATAATGACATCATTTTGATTACAGAAACATGGCTCAGTGATATGGTTCCAAATGGCCTGGTTGACATTCCGGGATATGTGTTGTTAAGAAAAGATCGACAAGGTAATGGAGGGGGTGTATGTGTTTACATCAAAGAGAGAATATCGGGTCATGCGGTGTAAGCGAATCATGGAAGAATATCTGGAAAATGCCACTGAACAACTCAAAATGCACCATTCTCCACATTGGTCCTAATAACCCACATCAACGATACTATCTGGAGCAGACAGAAGTCTGAAGTGTGCAACATCAAAAAGACTTAGGCATTGAAATTGCGGAAAATCTGAAGTGGGAGTGCCATATAAATCGCATAGTTAAACAAGCTAACACAATGATTTACCTAATAAAAGCAGCATTTGCAAACAAATCAGGCGAGATGGTACTCAAGTTGTATAAGAGCTGTATAAGAGCTGTTGCTATTAGACCAAAGATTGAATATGCACAATGAATATATGGAACCCCTATT